TCCAGTCTCCCGGGCTAAGTCCTTGTGGGTCAGAACATCTCAAGGGACCAATGCTGAGCGTAGAAACAAGGAAGTCCTTCCTTCAACACGATGACATTTGAAGAATGAGAAGGAAAACGGTCCAAATTCTGGGTTCTCTTGCAATCTTGCAGGCTTGTTGTTCTACTAATGGACAGGAAGCTCCTGAGAGGACTAAACAGCTTGTTCCTCTGGGGCTTTTTCAGATAAAAAACACAATGTGACTGTAATTTTGGTTGTTTTTTGGTGCTGATATGAGGACTTGAACTTAGGGCCTCGCATTGTCCCTAAGCTTTTTTTTTTTTCCATTCAAGGCTGCTGCTTTACCACTTGAACCACAGCTCCACTTCTGGCTTCTTGTTGGTTAATGGGAGATAAGAATCTCTTGGATTTGTCTGTCCAGTCTGGCTTTGAATTGAACCTTGATCCTCAGATCTCAGCCTCCTGAGTAGCTAGAATTACAGGTTTGTCAGCTCAGTGGTGTTTTCTGCAATTTGACTCCTATGTAGAATACTTGATGTTGGAAGAAATATGATGAGCTCTTCAGAGAGCTCATTTCCCTTGCTGACTAAACCTGTCACACAGACAGAACCCAGTGACATTTATTCATTATTACATCATGTATGGAAGGAGAGAGGGAGATACACTGCATGAACTGACACAGACATGCGCAGATGGGTATATGGGTGTTAGAAGCTTTAATTTGACTCCCTGGTTTTTCAATAAAATGGTTAGCATCTTCTTCCAGCACTGTACACACAAACAGTCTTGAACACAAGCAGTAGAGGGCTAGTATGCTCTGTGTGCTTTCACTGGCTAACCCAGCCTGGAATTTCCTGATACAAACACAAACTTTGATTCTTCTTCTAGGCCAATTTTGGCTACTTTGAAGGGTCATGTGATACCATGGGACCTAAGAAATCGGTAGTTTACTTAGTATTTTCTCCAGTTGACAAAAATCATGCTCCTCTTTTTTGAATAAAGTAAAATAATATTTCCAGCTTGAACAACCATAAGATGGGGGTTAGAATTTGGATTTTAATGGTGCCAGGAGGACTATAACATTGTCGATCTGTTTGGTTTTTATTTTGGTTGTCGTGAATTTTGAACTCAGGGTCTCACATTTGCTAGGCAGGTACTCTACCACTTAAGCCACATCCTAGCTCTGTTTGTTTACATGTTCGCCCTGTTACCTGCAGGAATTATTAACTGACAAGTAGCTCTTACTTATTGATTGATTAAGTGGGGGATTTGAACGTGAGGTCTTGTGCTTGCTAAGCAGGTCCTCTTCTACCTGAGCCATACCTCCAGTCCAACATACTCTACAAGATTGCCAGTTTCTCTTGATCCAAAGACATGGAAACCTCTGAAACAGGACTGAAAAACTCAATGTAATTCATGTATAAAGCCTCTTATGGCTATCTTCCAAACTCAGGCAACTAGAAAAGCTCTTTACTAGAATACATGGGATACTAAAAGAAGTAAAATAGCCTTTTTTCTTATAATTAGGAACTCAGTTTGGTAATACAGAAGTCCTCTAAGATGGTTGGGGGTGGGGAGGTAAGGGGGAGAAAACAGGGGTAAGTCGAATCTTGTGAAATGTTGCCACCTAGTGGAATAAACCATGTATTCCTATTCCTGCCTATTAAAACTCATTTGGATGGTCAGTGGTACCACTGATGAAAAACTAAGATATAAAATAAAAAGTTTGTTTTATATTCTATATGACAGTAACTAAGGAATTTAATTTTTCCAGCTGTGGGGATTGAACTCTGAGCCTGGGCACTGTCCCCAACTTCTTCAGCTGAAGGGTAGTTCTCTACTGCTTGAACTACAGCACCACTTCCAGGAATTCAGTTTTTTGTTAGTGTATATTAATTGTATGTGTAGCTAATGTACTTTGATCCTATCTCTCATAAGGGATTTTTTAAATTTCTAATGTCAAACATACTTATTCCACAGTGATCAGTTCTATGCTCTCTACTTATCATAATATTTCCATCTAGTTGACTATCTGAACTGAATGTGAAAATCTTTAATTACCTGTCTGTGTTTGTAGGGCACCAATGGCTCATGCCTAATCCTAGCTACTCAGGAAGCTGAGATCTGAGGAGTGCAGTTTGAAGCCAGCCTGGGCAGGAAAGTCTGAGAGACTCTTTTTTTTTTTTTTAAATCACGTTTACTAGTTCACATAAATACTTGAAAACAAATAGATCTGTCCTCCCTTTCTGTATTCTTGACATAATTAACTAGCAAAATCCAGAAATGGAGCTGTGGTTGAAATGGTTCCAGCCTTGAGGGCAGGTTCTAAATGACAGTACCCAGGCCCCGAGTTCAAGTCCCAGTACTCAACCCCCTCCCCCTACACTCACAATATAGGCATTTTAGGTGAGAAAAATAAATGACTTTTTATAGAGTACTTAGAAAAACAGTAAGCTGATTGATTATGAGATGTAAATTTAAAAAACAATCTGAAATGATTGTTTTGGAATTGTAATTAGATACTTTGTCCGTTCTCATTTTGTGTTGTATGTTTGACTTACTTTACAAGGCTAGTCCCTTTTCTGTGCCTGAGTTTCTTCATTCACAAGGTGAGGCTACATTAATACTCAAAACAGACTTATGAGAGCCACCTGCTGGTGGCTCACTCCTGTCATCCTAATTCTCATAAGGCTGAGACCTGGAAGAGTGCACCTCAAAGCCAGCCCAGGCAGAAGAGTGTGCAAGACTCTATCGCCAAAATAATCCATGAAAAGTGAGGTTGAAGGCATGGATCAAGTTGTAGAGCACCAGTTGTGACCAAAAGCCCAAGTGAATTAATTGAAGCCTCTTCACTGCCACCAAAACTAATAATGATAATAAGCAAAAAAAAATCCCAAATAAACAAAAGCAACAGTGTTATGAGATACACCATGCATAGAAATTAGAAACATGATGAGTAGTTTCACTTGACATTAACCAGAAAGGCTGAGAATTGCCAGGCAGTGGAGGTTCACACCTGTAATCCTAGCTGCTCAGGAGGCCAAGATCTAAGGATCACCATTCAAAGCCAGCCAGCCTAGGGAGGAAAGTTCATGAGACTCTTATCTCCAAGTAACTGGTAAACAGCTGAAAGTAGTGATGTGGTTCGAGTCATACATGTCCAGCCTTGAGGGAAAAAAGCTAAAAGTGAGTGTGCAGGCCCTGGGTTCAAGCCACAATACCGGCACAAAAACAAATGACAAAGTGCAGACCTTTATATCAAAGAGAGCGCATGACCTTCAAAGAAAGCAAGAAGAACACATTTTACATGAAGGATAAAATTGGTGATGTATGTAAGTGTCTGGAGTGGCCAGTACTGCAAGCAAGTGCAGTTCCACTCAGACCCCCCAGTAAGACTCAAGGAGTGAGGGAGACATGACTGACAAGCACAGGAGGAGGGTGAGCAGACCTGCAGTGCGCACATACAAGGTAATGCTATGGGCAAGGAGAGAGAGAGAGAGAAAGAGAGAGAGAGAAAGAGAAAGAGAAAGAGTGTGTGTAAACTAGGACTTGAGCTTGGGGCCTAGGTGCTGTCCCTTAGCTTGTTCACTCAAGGATAGTACTCTACCACTCAAGTCACAGCTTTATTTCCTGCTTTTTGCTAGTTAATTGGAGCTAGGACTTTATTGCCTGGATGGCTTTGAACTGTGATCCTCAGATCTCATACTTTTGAGTAGCTAGGATGACAGGTGTGAGCTACCAGCACCCAGCAGGTAATTTGACAAAACTAGACCTCTTACAACTTGTACAGGATAGGACCACAAAAGCCTCCTGCCTGTGCCAGCAGGGGGAGCCACAGAGAGATGCTAGAGGCCTGGGCTAGGCTACCTACAACTTACCTTTCCTCTGGCGGGCTACAGCGGACCTTCTATTTCCAGTGTTCTGACAAGGCCATGCATGGCTTTGGTTCAGTGTTGTAAGAGCATGAACTCTTTGATAGGGTGCAGTTTCGTGTTATTTATCAAATGAATTATGGAGATACATTATTCACTTATTCATTATTCACTGTGGTTAATGCTGCCAAATCACTTCATAACCCAGAGGCATTATCAATAAAACCTTGACCTCCAGAAAGGAACTTTCAAACTCTGTGATGGCTTTCCATTTTGAGTTGATGGTGGTAGTGGTGGTGTGGTGTATAGAGACTTGAACTCAGGGTCTCTTTGCTCTCACTTGGCTTTATAGCACAAGACTAGCACTATACTATTTGAGCCATAGTTTCATTTCTCTTTTTTTGCTGGTTAATTGGAGATAAGAGTCTCACATTACCTGGGCTGTCTTTGAACCACAATCCTCAGATCTCAGCCTCTTGAGTAGCTAGGATTAAGAACATGAGGGACCAGCATGGTCTGAACATGGGGACTGAGAACATAAAACAAAAAGGTCTTTTTGCTCATACAATTTATTAGTCTATTTATTTATTTATTTATTTTTGTTGGTAGTGGGCTTAGACTCTAGGCCTGGGTGCTGTCCCTCAGCTCTTCATTTCAAGGCAAGTGCTCTACCACTTGAGCCACAGTGCCACTTCCGGTTTCCTGGTGGCTTATTGGAGATACGAGTCTCATAGACTTTCCTGCGCAGGCTGGCTTTGAACTGTGATCCTCAGATCTCAGCCTCCTGAGTAGCTAGGATTACAGGCATGAGCCACTGGCACCTGGCTGTATTAGTTTATTTTTTAAAGGAAATACCTCATTTGCCTTTATAGTTTATATATTATTTTAATTTTCAAAACTATTTCGGGCTTTAAACGAATACATTTTTGTCTTTATTTTTTTTTCATTTTTGTCTTTAAAACTTTTATTTTTAAACTTTGATTGTTGGTGGTACTGGGGTTTGAACTCAGGGCCTCTGGGCTTGCTAGAGAGATAGTCTACCACTTAAGCCTTGCCTTCAGCCCCATGTGTGAACTTTAAATGACTGACAATGAAGTCCTAAAACAAGCTTTGTCTTTGTCTTTGCAGATACAGGCTGGTTCCACAGGTCTATTTTCCTGAGCAAATTCATGACGTTGTGCGTGCCACAAAGTACTTCCTGCAGCCTGAAGTCCTGCAGCAGTACCATGTTGACCCAGGCAGAATTGGCATTTCTGGTGACAGTGCTGGTGGGAATTTGGCTGCTGTCCTTGCACAACAGGTAACAGCAACTGACCTGATGAGCTGGTAGGAGGAGAGAGGACATTACCTCATGGGGTTGCTCCTTACCCGGCCTTTCTATTGATATGACACACTCAGATAGCTCAGAGAAGGAAAATGGGTCTCTAAAGGCCTGAGGAGACTAATGTATTATATTGTATTGTTACGATGCCATACAAATAATATACAATGTATTATTTTTTGTGTTTGAACTGGGGCTTGAATTCAGGGTCTTGCTTTTTTGCTACAAGCTACCATTCTACCACATGAGCCACTGCTCCACTTCCAACTCTTTGCTAGTCAACTGGAGAATTAAGAGTCTCATTGACCTTTCCTCTTATGCTGACTTTGAAATTTGATCTTCAGATCTCAGCCTCCTACCTAGCTAGGATTACAGTAGTGAACCACTAGTGCCCAATTCACTGGAAGATCTTTTAGCATGAAAGTAACCTATGCAGCCTAGTAATCTATCCAGTTTCCTTTTAGTTCTTACAGGAAAAATGTCTAGTTTTAGAAAGTAGAATTACAAATGGGAGGTCTGCAGTCTTGCTGGGTGCTGGGATCTGCAGCGGTGGGCACTTCCTTCCTGTTCCAGTGTAGCCTGTCTGGGGTCCCTTGTCTGTGTTATGTCAGCTGGCATTCTCTCAGCAAGCTTGAAGGCTAAGGGCTCCTCCAGGGGGGTGTACCAGGACACTTTATGGTCTGTTCATTTAGCTTTTCCTCCCCTTCTCCTCTAGCACAGCCAGACCTGTTTATTCCTCTCTAGGAAGACTTTGCCTTTTGAAAAATTAAAACATTTAATGATTACAGGTAATACACCCATAATACCCAGCAAGGTATGCTGAGTACCATGATGCAAATAAAGTGTTCATGGGGGTTTACAGATCTCAGAAGTCGTGGGCCCTAGGTTCATTCAAAATTATTGAGTCATGCACACTGGTCCTTTCTTAGGCAATACCTAGAATCTTGGCAGGGAAGTGATGGTGGACATTTTTTTTTAAACCACTCTGCTCTGTTAGTCAGCTTGTCCTTGCTATGACAAAAATACCAAAGAGAAACCAACTTCAAAGAAGAAGGAGTTATTCTGGCTTACAGATTCAGAGGTTTCAGGCATGTCAGATGACTCTATTATTTGAATCCTCATGCAAAGCAGAACATCATGGCAGAAGGGATGGGTGGGATAAAGCTGGTTCTTACCTCCTGGAATTCAGAAGCAGAGAGGGAAGGCGAGATGTGGCAGAACGGAAGAGGGAAAGGGAGGGAGAGGGAGAGAGAAAGGAGGAGCAGGGAAAGACATATCCCTTCAGGGTATACCTCCTGTGACCTAGTTCCTCCAAGTAAGGCCTACCTACTCCCAATAATGCCATAAAATTATAAATCTACCAGTGGGCCCAACACAGGTCGCTCACACCTGGAATTATAGCTACTCATGTCTGAGATCTAAGGATCTTGACTGAAAGCCGAAGCAGAAAAATGTGAGACTCTTTATCTCCTATAGATCAGCAAAAAGTTAGAAATGAATATGTGGTTCAGATGATAGAGTGGCACCTTTGAGTGAAAAAGTCAAACAAGGAGGCTCTGAGTCCAAACTCTAGTACCAACACACACACACACACACACACACACACACACACACACACACACACACACACAGAGCAATGGAGATTAGAGTCTTTAGGGTCAATTGCTTTCCAAAAAGCCAACTGGCAACCAAATCTTTAACATATTACAAGATTTGGGGACAAGTTACAGATGCAAACCATTACAACTGCTTAGTGCTTATTGGTAATTTCACACTATCAGTTTTGACTGATTGGAAAGCAAACCCTGAAGCAACTCTCTAAGGTATAGTTGGCTCGAAAGGATCCACTAAATGAAATGTTGTTTTTCTCTTTCCCAGTTTAGTCAAGATGCCAGCGTAAGAAATAAGCTCAAACTGCAAGCTCTAATCTATCCAGTCCTTCAAGCTTTAGATTTTAACACACCCAGTTATCAGCAAAACGTGAACACCCCAATCCTGCCCCGCTATGTCATGGCGAAGTACTGGGTGGACTACTTCAAAGGCGATTATGACTTTGTGCAGGCGATGGTAGTGAATAACCACACTGCATTGGATGTGTCCGAGGCGGCTGCCTTTAGGGCCTATCTCAACTGGACGTCACTCTTGCCGGCATCCATCACAAAGAACTACAAGCCTGTGGTGCAGACCATGGGCAATGCCAGGATCATCAAGGAGCTGCCTCAGCTGCTGGATGCCCGTTCTTCCCCCCTCATTGCAGATCAGGAAGTCCTTCAGCACCTGCCAAAGACCTACATCCTCACCTGTGAGCACGATGTTCTGAGGGACGACGGGATCATGTACGCCAAGCGCTTGGTGAATGCTGGTGTGGACGTGACCCTCGACCACTTCGAGGATGGCTTCCACGGCTGCATGATTTTCACCAGCTGGCCCACCAACTTCTCAGTGGGAGTCCGGACTAGGTATAGTTATATCAAGTGGCTAGATCAAAACCTATAAAGGAATAAAACTTCTAGACAGCTCGAGTCCCTATTGATAACCTGTACCTGCTTAGGAAAGATGTAACTGTCTTCGTGGCCTAATTCCATTCCCCGCCTCCCTTTTGTTATTTGCAAGTTTTGGAATCTCTATTCCTTGCAGACTTTATGATCATCTAATTTTTTTAAAAAGTGAATTTGACTCATTGAAATGCAAAACACCTGACTTGGTCCCCAAAGTGGGCCATCTTGTCTGAAAAGATGTGTTGTTGTTTTTTTTTTTTTGAAATTGTGGATAAAAGAAGAATGTCTAAGGAGTTAAGAAAATGTGGGCTCATCCTCAACTTTCTAGAGTTTACTTTGGGTCTACAACTAGTTACATGGGTGCATTCAGGTCAGTGCTAGGGACCAAGTGCCCACTGTTCTTTGTGGATCATTGTGTGTCCTATAGGAACAAGGCTTTTAGCAAGACACATTCTCAGAAGGCTTTGTTCCTCTAGAGCATTGATTCTGTAAGAGAGCCACCTGTAACTACCACATGGCTTCTCATGATACTTGAAAGTTCCTTTGAACCACTATTAGTAGAAAACAAGAGTTTGCATGCACTGAATATCTATCTACATATAGTTAGAATTTTGTGGTTTGGTTTTATCTTTTCCTTGGGAACAAATTTATTTAAATGTAAGATAAATTTCCTATTGTTAAATACGTAAAAATAGGCAAATGAAACTATTTGTTTCATTAAAAAACGCTTCTGGTATAAATTACTAAGAGTAGTATGTATATATTTGGTATAGTTGGGAAATAAAAGCATATTTAATATTAGTTTTAAATGATGAAAAAAAACCTTTGGAAGGTCTAGTCCATTCTTGGAGACTCAACTTTTTTCACTTATATGGCTTTCAACAGGGACTATTTTGGTATAATATGATGCACTGTTTATTTTTTTAAGTTATGTAATGTTAATATGTAGCTAGACAGGATTTTTTCTGAAAGACATCTATAATCAATATTTAAAATAGTGATATTTTTAAAAAACCTACCTTAGAGTTATACCCACAAATAATTTTATGGAAGAAGTAATTATTAGTACTATATATTAGAACACAATATTTTGATATTTATATTCATGTTTGAATTAAAATAATAGCGACTCAGATTATACCTAGCAAAGCCATCAAACTTAATGCAGCTTGGATATCTCTCACATCAAATATGAAATTCTCCAAACTCCCAAACTTTGAATACTACTATGATTCCACAAGCAGGGAAATCTACATCACAAAAATTTGTTCCCTGCTCAGAAATACTTAAAATAGTATACAAAGTTACTTTCAGACTGTGTTTGCAATGTATTTCTACAACATAAATTAATATCTCGTTTAGCGTTTTGTCCCATCCTAAGATCTCATTATGTGTAGACAAATATTCTAAAATCTAGAGAAATCCCCAATCTGGCACACTTCTTGTCCCAAGTATTTTAGATGAAGGATATAGATATTCAACCTGTAGTTCATGTTTATCTTTTCTCTTTCTCTCCTTTTTCTTTTCTTTTCTTTTCTTTTTTTTTGTGCCAGTACTGAGCTTGAACTTTTGTCTTCTTGTTCTTGCTTAGCTTTTTTGCGCAAGGCTGGTGCTCCATCATTTGAGCCACAGCTCCACTTCTGGCTCTTTGTTGGCTAATTGAGATAAGTCTCTCAAATTTGCCTACCTGGGCTGGTTTCAAACCACAACCCTCAGATCTCAGCTCCCAAGTAAATCATCTCTGCTCTTGATGGTGACAGGGGCCCTCACTTTCTGGGTAAAGGGCACCTCATTCCTACACCCCTAATTTTGTTTTTATTTCCAACTAGATCTAGAAGTTCTAACAACCCAAACTTACATTCATGTAAGATCTTCACTGCCAGTGTGAGCATAGGTGCACTCAAGAAACTCCAGTTCTGACCTCAGTTGAGTGCTCTGCCCTTTTTCCTGCTACCCCATTTCTACCCCAATCCAGCTGCAGAGATCTGGTTCAAATGGTAGAACACTAGCCAAGGGGCTGTGAAGAAGAATAGTCTGACTGAGCAAGGACACAGTGCATGAGGGATAGGAAGTAGATCCTCTTTTTCACTCCTTTGAAGGAAGGGTATTTCTTAGCCACTTCTGCCAATGAGCTAACGAATGGAATTTTACATAGTTGTTGCAAGAGCCAATTGTGTGTGTGTGTGTGTGTGTGTGTGTGTGTGTGTGTGTGTGTGTAGCAATAATCATACAAGCTACCTTCAGAGTATACTTAGGTGAATCATAGATCATCTTTGGGCCTTGTCTCCCTTTTCCTTAAAATCCAGAGAGCTCAATTACTTCATCTTTGAAGTCTCTTGCAGCTATAAATTCCAATCACATTTCCAGCCTGGTAATGTACTGTCCTCCTATGGTGATTTTGTTGTTGTTGTTGTTAGGATTCTGTATGCATAGACAGATGTCACACTTTTCTCCAACTCAGAGACTTTCTGTCTACACCCAGGTGGCATCAAAGATGTCTGTTGAGCCCTTTCTTTCCTACTTAGCATACAAGTTGATGCTCATTTTTGACTGAGATTAGGAGAAAATAATCATGAGAATATTAGGGAAAGTATTGTTCTATTGGTATCTACTTTTTAAGAATATTTTTTCTTGAGGTGCTGGGAATTGAACCCAGAACTTCACATACTAGGCAAGTGCTCTAATGAGCCAGACCCTCACCTCTACCCCCTTGGTGGTGTGTGTGTGTGTGTGTGAGAGAGAGAGAGAGAGAGAGAGTGAGTATTGATGTTTGAACTCAAGGCCTTGCGCTTGCGCTTGACTTTTTTGCTCAAGGCTAGTTGGTGCTCTACTACTTGAGCCACATCACTTCTGACTTTGCTGGTTAGTTGGAAATAAAAGAGTCTCATGGATTTGTCTGCCTGGGCTGAATTTAAACCTCAATCCTTGGATTTCAGCCTGCTGAGAGTACAGGTATGAGCCAAGAGAGCTTGGCTCCATGCCTATAAATTTTTTCATACCATTGAAAGACAGGTCCTATTATGTGTTTGTCTGTCTCTGAGAAAATGCTATAATAAATGCACAGTTCCATAAAATGACATTTCCCTTCCCCAGAATTGTGAGCCAAACTCTACAGTAATTCCAGCTAAGTGTTTTCAGATCTCTCAAGAGTTCTCTCAGTGAAAACTGAATGGAAAAAGAGGGGCCCACCCTATTCCTGACAAAATACTTGAGTTTTATTTTCCTTTAGGGTTTAGTCTTATAAACAATGATTTTTTTTTTGGTATTCTGCTGATAGGTCTTTTTTTTTCTAGTACAGTTTTGTCTGTTTTTCTGATCTTAGGAAAAAAGTTGATCATCTTTTTGTAATATTGAGTGTCTGTGAAATAAGAATATTAATATATGCAGAAAACCTTGAAGTGTAAATTAATCTGAAGTGTAAATTAATGTTTTCTTGTTGATTTATGATGTATTGAGATGTGTACCAAGATTATATTGGTGGATATCATATTTTATGCATGATCTTTAACCTTTGACCTTTGACCCCACTGCAAAAGAGTGGTGGGAAGGAAGGTTTTATGAAGGATTTTAGGAGCAAATAAATTTTATAAAATGAGAACCAGTATAGAGATGGTAATGTGTCTCTCTTTGGAAATAAAATGCCTCCATCTGGAACTGTAGTTCTTTCAGTTCTCCTGCTCCCATTCAGGTTTCTATTTGACGAAGTACTTCATATTCTCTTTTTATTTTTCCTGTACCTCAGATCCCTACTCCCCAGATTCTCCTCACTGTATCGCCCAGCTGTCTTTCTGTCACCGGAAGTGGCTTCATGACTTCCTGGATGATACTGTGTCTTGGTGCCTGGAGTCATCGTATGTTGTCTTACCCAAGTGAAACCTGCCTTAGGCTGGCCAAACTATTCATAAAAGTTGGGGGGCTTTGAGATTGTGGGGATCTTTAATATCCATGGTAGGAAAGGATAATGCAAAAAAAAAAGTCTAGGTTGGAGCCATTTCAACCAAAGAATTGTCTGGATCACCAAAGAAAAATTCTTGAGTTAAGTTACACCATTTCTCATTTGAGTGTATCACACAGTCTATAGCCTTGCAAACACAGGAATTTACAAAGGATTCTCTTTAGATTCAATTATATACATGGATGCACTAAATGGTTCCACATTGCCAAGTACGGTGGTGTACAAGTGCGTGGTACAATCCCAGCACTTGGGGGGGGCTGAGGCAGGAAACTCACAAGTTTGAGATCAGCCTGAGCTACATGGTAAGACCCTGTCTTAAAAAAGAGGAAACAAAGTCATAGACCAGAGTGTGACTATGAGTGAGTGTGTGTGTGTGTGTGTGTGTGTGTGTGTGTGTGTGTGTGTGTGTGTGCTGATCATGGGGCTTGAACTCAGGGCCTGAGTGCTATGTCTAAACTTTTTACTCAACGCTAATGCTCTACTACTGGAGCCATAGCTCTACTTCCAGCTTTTGAGTGGTTAGCTGAAGAGAAGAGTCTCTCAACTTTCCTGCTCAGAGCCTCAGATCTCAGCCTCCTAAGTAGCAAGGATTACAGGCATGAGCCACCTGTGCCTGGCTTACAATTATTTATTAGCATACATTAACTGTACAAGGGGTGTTTCATTTTAACATTTCCACATGTATACAATGTATTCTGATTCATTTCCCCCAATTATAATTGTGTGTTTCACAAGCAGCTGGTATGTGGCTGTAAAAAATATGCATCAACGGTTCCAGTAATTCTTCTTTGAGGCATTAGATGTAACTCTGTTTTTCTTTTCTTTTCCCTTCCTTCCTTCCTTTCTTCCTTCCTTCCTTCCTGTCTTTTTTTCTCTTCTTTTTTTGCAGTTCTGGGGCTTGAACTCAGCGTCTGGGCACTGTCCCTGAGTTTCCTTCGCTCAAGGCTAGCACTCTATCACTTGATCCACAGTGCCACTTCCAGCTTTTTCTGTTTATGTGGTACTGAGGAATCGAACCTGGGGCTTCATACATGCTAGGCAAGCATCTACCACTAAAAATCCCAACCTTCTGGTTTTTTGTTTGTTTTTGTTTTTGTTTTGGGTCCGGTTGTGGGGCCTGAACTCTGGTCCTGGGCGCTGTCCCTCAGCTCTTCAGCTCAAGGCTAGCGCTCTACCGCTTGCACCACAGCGTCACTTCCGGCTTTTTTCTTTTTGCTTATGTCGTGCTGAGGAATCAAACCCAGGGCCTCATGCATGCAAGGCAAGTATTCTACCACTGAGCCAACTTCCCAGCTCCCTGTTTTTTTTTCATTGATTATGAATTTTATTTTCCAAGTTTTTATCTGTTCCTTTTGGGGTGTGTGTGTGTGTGTGTGTGTGTGTGTGTGTGTGTGTGTGTGTGTGTGTGTGTGTGTGTGTTTATGCCTGGAGCTTGAACTCAGGGTATGGGCATTGTCCTTTAGCTTTTTTGCTCAAGGCTGGCACTTTACCACTTGCACTACCACTTACACTTACAGCCTTTTGCAGAGTAATCGGAGATCAGAGTTTCATGGACTTTTCTTCATGGGTTGGCTTCAAACCAGGATCCTCAGATCTCAGCCTCCTGAGTAGCTAGGATTACAGATGTGAGACACCAGTGCCTGGCCCCCGTATCTGTTTGTTTTAAATTTCTTCTTTCTAATGGAGACTTTATTTAACTCTCTAGATGATACTGGTTTCTGTACCAGATTACCCAGGTCCAAAATTGGAAATGTAAATATAATGTCTGTGGGGCCTGCATGTCACTCAGCATGTCATTTTCCATGGGAGTGAAGAGAGGTGGATGGTATACACATCCATGTGTTTTCTGCTTGAAGGATCCTCCCCAGGTTTTCATTTCTGACAGATGCATGGTTCATTGTTGACATTTTAGCTTATTCTCCTTCCTTGGCCAGATACTGTCTGTGTCCAGACGAGCCCCCATCTCTTTAGGTCTCATGATGATGCTTGAGGCTGGCCTTGAACCTCCATCCTCTCCAGCTCCACTTTTGGAGTAGCTAATGACAGGCATGAGTCTCTGGCACCAGTCCATGTATTCTACTTTCAATAGTGGTTTTCTAAGCCACGTACTGTATTTCTTCTGTTCTCATAAACTGAAGCTCCTTCAGTTCCTTCTAGACAAATCCAGTACCAGTGCACGTGCTGTAATGGTTACCTGTTGCTGAATAACAAATCATTCTGACACACCTAGTTAGTTAGTTATTTGATTCGTTGTTTTTATGGTTTGGTTTTGTTTTGGTACTGGTATGAGGGCCTGATCTCAGGGTCTGCTTCTGTCCCTTCACTTTTTGCTCAAGGTGGGCACTCTCCCCCTTTGAGCCACAGCTTCACATCTTGCTTTTTGGGATGATAAGAGTCTCACAGACTTTTCTGCTGTGCTCTGACTGGCTTTGAACAGCAGTCCTTGGATCTCAGCCTCCTGAGTAAACAGGATTACGGTATAGGCACAAGCCACCTGGACGTGCCTTGTTAAAAGCAGTAGATGTAGAAGCAGATACTTGAGGAGGATTCTGAGGAAGCTGGTAGTGAATGAAGCGAAGAAGTGTGTGGGGA